ATTACAAGTTAGGTCACACAAGTGTTTTGTAGGAAGTTGTCTATAGTGAGGAAAAGGTACATAGGTTAGTCATAGCAACCTCTGCAAGATACAACAACCCAATGGTTGAACTACCCAGTTATTCACATACTTTACGGGCGGTGGTGGTCCGGTGGTAACGTCACCAAATTACCACCCCGGGGATGTGTTCGGATCCCACCACCACCGTAATATGTTTGTTTGACAGCCCTTTGATTGGCTGCTTCCTCCTTCTTGAAAAGTTTATCTTTGTATATTAAATAAAAGGAAGTAAAAAGAAAACGAAAGTAAAATCTAACTGGTTAGTCAGTCATTGAAAAAGGTAACAACGTTGTAAAAACTTGAAATATGACTTACCTATGGTATTATTTCGTTTAAAAAGATGGCTCACCTTCCCACTCAGCTTCTCATCAGTTTTGGTATACTCGAGGTTGACATTGGGATGAGCTGATTAATCCAAGCGCATTTTGTTTCGGCTACTTGTTGTTATTGGGCTGGGTACTCGGGTATACTATATTCAGGAGTTTGCAGATTGTCCTTTGCTCATTCATGCCTAGCAAACTTGATGCTCCCCAGAGGGCTATCCTTAATTTCATCACTGCTTCCATTTGCTCCCATACTAAAAGAGGAATACTTTACCTCGTTTCGCATGTCCCTTGAACTAACTTCCGAATGTAATTATGCAGACGGGGTTGTCTCGGTTGATTTTATTTTTTTGTTAGCATTTGGATGTCTGCCATACGTTTATTGACAGAATATTTTGTGACGAACTTGCCAAATCTGCACTCGATAATCGTACTCTCTCCAAAAATTCCTACCACTACTCACCTGAGCAGTATATCTAGTTCCGTCCTCATTTGGCATATTTTTGGCTGATCGAACTCAGTCATTGACAGCTTCGAGGATAAACTTTTGCGCTGGATTATTATTATTATTATTCTAAATCTCTGACTGCTGCCTTTTGCAATTCTCTCTGCGCTATAATTTTCATAAACTGCTAACAACCCATCATTTGGATGCGTAGAGTTTATCTTGATTTTTCATTGCTAGAAAATCCCTTAGTGATTAAGGTCTAGCGAGCGGGGCTATGAAATAGTTCAACTTGCAGTGTTTATGCACACACAAAAATGCAGACTAATTAGGAACTGCGAAAAATGATTCAAAGCCCTCCACCTTCTTCATTTTCTCATTTGTATCACCATGTTTAATGTTCACTTTGTCGTCGAGCTTGGCACTTTGATTGTTAATGTTTTTATCACCAGATGAGGTGATATTTCCATACGGTACCCACACCAATCCTCATTTAGGGATCGACTAGACATTGATGGACATTTGACACTCAGAGTGAACTAGATTAGACTGCCTTTTGTTCCTTGTTGTCAGACCACACAGTGTTTCGTTGGTTGCTGTCTTCATAACATGGTTTCGTCTGTAAGTGCGCGCTTAAGGCCTCGTGATTCGGAGTGTACTGCCATTCAGTCAGTTTGCCGGTCTGGGTTCTATTGTGTCCAGTTGTCGAATTTTGGCCGTATTTTGTCAGGCCAGAATGCTTGAAACGGTTTGTA